AAAGAAGTATCACTTTGTTGGTACAGCCACTTGTGGGCTTTGTATTTCCATGCTCACAGGCCCTCCTCAGTGCATGAGGGCCTTCACCCTGACAAACATGGCGATACGTGGGACACGTGATGGTGAACTTGAGTCTCGACAATTGACATCATAGCTATGCAGCAGCATGCAGCAAACAACACATTTTATGTGAAAATGGTGCCAGAGGTTAGAAATTCTTGAAATTTCAGGGCTAAGTAGCCAAGCAGCCAGCAGATATTTTGGCAGCCAACAATGGCGGTCACATGTTGCGCTTGTCATTTCCGTTGCGTACACAACAGTGTTTGTTTTCGAACAGCACTTCCCTATTGGAATTTAGGCGTTGTGCTGATGAGTACACGGTGTGCTTCACGTGAATGCACTGACTTGAGATACAGTAACAAGAAAATCTATTTTAATAATGTTTGGATTATTGTCATTTTGTCTGTTGATCTTGCACCCTGCCATATGTCACGTTTATTATCCTCCCTTCATATCTCTATGTTTTAATCATAAATTGTTCTTTGTGTCTTAATCTCACCAAGCTCAACACTGTTAAATGAAATATACTTCAATGAAGGCAAATGTGAAGGTATTAAACCATTACATTTGTCAGACAGCAGACCATTTTACTTGTAAACCTTATTCAGTATGTATTGGGTTTTATAATTCAAACAAAGTCAGTTCAACCGAAAAGATAGGTATGCAACATGAAGCCTGTAACTTCAAATGTAAGACATTTTTAAAGCAGAAGTAAACAACTACCAAAATCTAAGTGTTAATGTAGAGAGACACAAGACAAACGGACATAAATACATGCAAAATAAGGATGAAGCAATAGTAAACAAATAGCTCATTGCAAATATAGTGGCTCTTCCTGCTCCTCTTGAAAAATAAAAGGAAACACACCACCCCCCTCAACTGCTAGCATTCACTGTTCTCATTTAGCAGGTGACGATGGCCTGTAAGAGGAAGAGTTTGCTGTTGACAATCCAGTGTAAAGCTTTGAATAGCTTGACCAGTGGAGGTTTGATGTTGATGGCTGCCGGCAGTTCTCACAAGATCACAGGTTGTGTTGCAATGATCCGCTTCCATTAAGCTGCTACTCCTGAACTAAACAATCAGTTCTTCATTTCCCACTTGATAATTGGTTAACTTGTCACTGCATTATCAAATATCTTCCAGAGTCCAGAAAGAGAACTGAACTGCAGCCCTGAGCTACATTTGAACAAATGTATAAATTACAAATATATACAAATGCAACTGCATAAATTTGTCCACCTTCAGAGATTTTACTATAACAATAATGATTTAGTGTCTTAGTAAATGATGTCATTGTGGTCAACCTTGGTTAAAACTTAATTAAATGTACTGACATTTTAACATTTCATTCATCACGTGCCATATCACCCACCCTTACTATGTATGAATGAAAAAGTGCATAACAGCAAGTAGTAAAAGTGAAGACTAGCACATAAAACCAAGTAATAAGTTCATCAGCACTTAAAGTCAGTAAAGTCTACGTAGCACAGTAACAGAAGAAACACACCTCTGATGGCGTGATGTCTCAACAAGCTGCTTCCCCAATGGTCCACATGAAATCACTTCAGCTTTCGCTCAAGAATAATTGTAAAGCTGTAAAATTCCCCTCACAGTTTCTTAAAAGAAAAAGAAAAGTACTCCACAGTGGGATTTTCTTTTCACGTCTCCTTCAGCATCTAAGTGTCCTTTGTAAAACTCTGCTCAGCTCTTCTCTGTGTTAGACAGAGCAGCGCCACGCCTCACTGAGGATGTGCTCGTCAGACAAGTGCAGATCGAACCCTGCAGGTATCTGGGCGGGGCTGCAAGTAAAGCAATACTCTCTCTACCTAACCAGACAGGCCTGCCAGCTCTGTGATCACATGGAAAAGTTGTACAGCAGATCTGTTGTTACATTTGATGCACATTATAAACTTAAGCTGAAATTTGGATTTCATTATCAATACTACCTGCACATTGCCGTGTTCAGCATTTAAATAAGGACATTTTTACTAAACTGTCAGAAATACCCATAATTGCAAATTGTGGATTAATCCACCACTTAAAATAGTTCAAAAAAGTTGCTATTAACTCCTATTGCAGTAAAGTTTGTTCAATACTACAGTGTCCAAATATTTCAGAAAATCACTGAGCCTTTGTTAAAATGTTTTTTCGGCATTTCAAAAGATTTCTCTCCTCAGTAGGAACCCAAGTGAGCTGCTGACAATGGGACGATTAGAGAATAAAAGGCTTCGTAAATATGTACACATTTTTTTCCAAAGAGTGAAAATGTACAATTCCAATAATGCCAGGTATTCAGGTATTGTATTGCTGCAGGTGGAGGGGAACAATAAGGTCTACAAGCTGCCTCAAGAGCTTCATTTCATAATACTAAGCACAGATTAGAAAAAAATAAAACATCTTAATCTACAGCGGCTCTACTGATTTTATTTTTGTATTTCATTTGCTATGCTAGGGAGCATCCAGTTCAAAATTGACTTTAACATCAGTATTATGGTGCATTATGACAGCCTGAGGATGCTGTGAGCTGAAGGCCACAACATTCCCTGCATTCACTACACACCATTAAGACTCTTACATAGCTTCGTTACAGAGTCGAAATGTAAAACGTTTGTGACATGGAATGCTAAGTATGGTGGTACACATTGACTGACAAATTAACTTTTAGGGCTGTGTGATGCAAAACCCCATGAGAAACATAAAATGGATGTCCAGAAAACATAACATGCCCCTATACTGCCTGTGTGGTGTCAACAAAGTGTCCACAAGCCCCGGCATTCATAATTGACTTGAAAGGAGGTCATTTACACAATGTTTTAAGCCTAAATGTCCTCTGGAAGTGGCTAAGCTAGTGGACATAGCACCACGATGGTGTGTCCCGAGGGTCAGTGAATGCACCTCGTAGGAAGATATCAAACATTTACGCATTAAACATGGTGTCAATTTCAAGATGTGACGGGTCAGAATACTTACTGAATACGCGGCCGTGCTCACGAGTCTACCGTGCATAGATAAAGCATAAACATGATGCACCACATTAAGGAATTTTAATTGCAAACCGAGACTGTAGGAAATTATTGTGATACAACTATGTGAAATTGAAGACATTGACAAGGCTTCCATCTACAACTCAACTCTTACAAGTGACCATTTCTTTACCTGCTATTTGGTAGGTATTTCAGAAATCACCTTTCTCAGAGATCCCAGCTGGACAAGCCCTTATTCCCTTAAACTGTCACCAAAAAAAAAAAAAGAACACTGCCCACTAATTGATCTCCATCTGTCATCTTTTTTGGATGGACATCTATACTTTAAAGTCTAAATAAAAATAACCCAGGTATAACAGACAGTGACAGTCTTGTGACAGTTGTAAAATTCAGTCAAGAATGCTATGAACTCATCGAGGTATCTCGTTGCTCAATGTTTAAATGTGCTGTCATGTGTAACATTCCTATCTTTTCAAACAATTGGATTGAAACACAGTAAGGCTTACATCATTACTAATCAGAAGTTATCAGGACCTGAAATAAAATTAAGTGTTATTTGGGTTTGTTTGATTCACTCTAGAGTTTGTGACACGCATTTAGTTTGAGACCCTTAGGCACACAAATAAGTTCTGCATGTGTACTCGCATTCCTTCGGTACATGCGTACAGTCTGTGACTTCATTCATGCATTAGACCTCCTAATGACTGCTTATTTTTCCTTCTTGTTTACGCTCAGGGAATGCCTCCTCAAGCAGGAGGGAACTGTCATATGTAAAAGTCACAAAATGCTTGTGTAGCAATGTGATATAGTATTCATTATTTTATTTCAATTTGAATGTGCTGGAATGCATTGCATAAATGCACCATTCCTCTCTGATGTGCACCATCGTGGGTCCATCAGGTCTGGATGAACTACATACTGCCTAGTAAACAAAAAGGTAGCAAAGCAGAAATTCTGCATAGTGACACTGTCTCAAACAATTCATCATCGTCGTCAAACAATGGCTCACCGTCTATCAGTCAATCTTTTTGTTTTATGTTGCATTTTTAATTTCATGGCATTAGAAATGAACATGATAGAGAACTCAGACCAGCCAAGACAAAACAAGGAGCTCATATCTAAAACAGGGCTACTTCTCTCTAGGGGTGTGCGATATTGGCAAAAAATATCGATATTTTCTGGGATGTTGCCGATTACAATAATTAACCAATTAACAGCCCGGCTCTCTGTCCGGAACAAGTGGGTGAATGAGACCCACACACACACACCATGAATGAGAAGGCAGGCTCTGGCTTTGCGCACTGCAGGTCAGCCTGTGGAGGTCGTGCGAGGCACCTGACTCTCTCTCCCTCACTCACAGGCTTGTGGAGAGGGGCACACGCTCCGTGTGGCTTTACCCATTAATCGACAACATCAGCCCGCACATCGCTAAAACAACAATTAAGATATTATCGTAGACAATAAATATCGCACAACCCTTATCCTGTCCCTTTCAAATGGTTTTGGTATGAAAAGTCTGACAGGGCAGAAAACTTAGAATTGAAACAGGAACAAATTTAAAGTAAAATTTACATTACATTTTAAAGTAAATATGCTTTATCTTCCCAGGAATTCTAAACTTACCCTGATCATCTGTTATGAGATTTGTCATATCGCCCCACCCTAAGTGAGGGTTATGTTGTTTGACATGATGTGGAGCAATACATTAATATTTATAGTAGCACAATATTAATATATACATTTAGGAAAGTCCCCCCCCCAATGGTGATAAACTATTTGCACAGTATCCTGTTCACACCTACATGATATACCCTGCTTCCTCTTAACAACAATAAGCAATCTGTGAAATGAAGACACTTCACTTGATGGAAGACCAGAACAATCTACAGGTCAACATAGGAAGCAAGAGACAACCATGGTAGCTATAGTAACTGAAGGTCAGATGCACAAACACTGTACCAAGAACATGTTATTAAAGACAAGTACTGTCTAGAACAATATGTACATGCCTATGCTGAGACCTGAACAAACTGGTTCTCTCTCCTCTCTGCCTCCCTTCTTCCAGGAATGTGCCAGAACAACATGCACAGGCTGTTTGTCCACAGGTGACTGATGGCAATTCTCTCAAGGTACATAACCAAACACAAGAGCTCTGGTAGCAGTTTTGTCCTGCAAGATAGGAGGAGGAAGTCTAGTGCTTAATTCTGGAAGTATCATAAACTCCATGTAGGATTTTCAATACTTTCAAAAGTCCTTAATATTGTAGAAGAAAAATGTTTCTTTTATAACTGAATTCTTGAATTTACCTACACCTCATTTGTTTTGAACTTGCTGGCTCTGATTACAGCTGTTAAGCTAAAAGACTTGTTATGTCGCTTCGCAGTTCACACGATAAGAGGCCGTCTTATGATTGGATGTCTTGTAGTTGTTGTAACCACAGGAGGGTCACTTACTGCACTGTGCGATCTTTCATCAGGAGAAACTCCCGACTGGACCTGAAACTATGTTTAATCACAAAAACATGTAAGAAGAGACAGTGGTAAAGTGATCGTCTTGCTCATCTGTGTCATCCTTCTCGGAATGACACATCAGGGTGGAGGAGCAGCGAAACTCTTCAGAGGACATCGCAGTGACATATCATATAGTGCGTCTCGGGGCACATTTTTCAATCCGAGCCCAACCTCAATGCAGTTGATAGAGTTTGTTACACTATACCCTACATGCATGTTATCACTTAATTTCCCAGATTACAGATATGTGCATTGTAAAAAGTCGGGGGGCACCAAAACACTAGTGATGTGTCCTTCTTTGTCGAGGCTTTGAAGCATGTGTCGAGTAATTCAGGAAATGGTTCGCGGGTTTGGGGCAGCGAAACGCAATGGATCCCCCATCACATTTTGTGGACTTGGGACTTTATTGTGTGTTTGTTTGAAATCTATTCAAGCTTCTTTTTTATGTGATGGAACCAGCAAGAAAGAGGAGATTTCCCCCCCAGGCTTTGTACCCCAGCTTCATCTGTGCCCTGTGAAAGGATATTTTCTAAAGCAGGTGACATCTAAAAAATTTAAAAATTTAAAAAATTTAAAAAAACACCACCTGAGTCCAAGCACTGTGGAAAAGTTATTTTAGATAAAATTGAATAAAATGTAGTCTCTATTTTACATGTTACATGTCCCTTGTAACATAAGCGCAGTCACAAACCACAAAAGTAACACAAGCACATTCATACTTTCCTTTTTGACCCCGCCACTGTATCATAAAAACACTTGTCAAGTTTTGTAAATTTAAGTTACGTATGAGAGGGAGTCCATTTTACTTTCTTTTAATTTCTACAATAAAATCTTCTGGAGCTCCACACAGACCATGGGGGGGTCACCATGATTAAGCCTGAGATGAAATGTATTTGTCACATCATAAAGATAAAAAAAAAAAAAAAAATATGAGAAAGTTATGGGTGATATGATGAAAAGTAGGCAACTTTTTTATATTATATCATTATTTAATATTCCGTGTCATTATACTTGTTAGTGTCCATAATTAGTGAGCTTGTTCCGCCGCCAGCACCTGCACCATGAGCCCACACATTCACGGGCTTTCAGCCACATGGCCTCAGTTCGCGAAGACCTGACAAGTGCGCGTTTAAATGGATTCACCTCATAATATCACTGAATTAAACAAAAACCACATAACACACAATATCAACCAAATGACGACATGTCGAGTTAATAAGCGACACGCTCAGTCCAAAGCTCGGCAAAGGTTTTATTCACGAGGCAAATTTAAGACTTGCGAGATATTCACTTTGAAAATTAAAACAAATAAAGAGAGTGCACATTGACACAACTTGTTTTCACATCGCAAACAAACCGTGAAGTCACAAACCTCTGACCCAACAAACATTCCCAAACATGGCCCCCGGTGGTCCAGTGTCGGGACCGAGAACTGACCTGAGAGGTTCCGGAGGTGAAGCAGCGTGGGAGCCCACAGAGGAAACACCTGAAGGAGACAAGCGCCGAGACTCCTGCTGCCTCTGCTAACTGCTAACTGCTAGCTCTGAGTGCGCGTGCCACACATGGCAGTTCAGCAGGTGCACCAGGTGCATCATGGGAGCATCATTAGTTCGTCGCCTTTTTAAATTTAAATATTCATGAAACTGGTCATTGCAAAGATTGTGATTAGTTGTCCTGATCAAATGAAACTTTTATAAGTGTGCGTATAATAACAAACACAAAATAAACTAAATGCACAGTTCGGCTGGGATGATGCGTCATCAATTACGYAAATACGTCAATTAGCGCAACGTGTGGCGAGGCGTCGTAAGGAAAGTGGCTGCGCACAGTCAAAGCATGGATTCAACCTAAGAGCGAGCTGAAGAGAAYAAAATCGCCCAAGATCATCTAAAGCATGGGTTCCCAACAGGCGGACCGCGGTCCGAACGGGACCCAGAAGCCTTTCTACACGGACACAGACCGATTATTACATTTTGACTGAGCGTCTCTATTTGAACTTTTCTTGCAGTTACGGTAGTGTTATTTTAACCTGCGCTGCTTTTCCGTCTTTACGGTAGTAAATGCTGACAGCACATGGTAGAGTTCACTTCTCTCACTGAACAAGAGAAAGTGGGAACAAAGAGAAAAGGAGTGTTAGAGCTGTGTAGGTGGTAATGTTGGTTGGGATTGTTTATATATGAAATATAGTTATATATTAATAATAAAGAAGAAAAGGGGAAACTCAAATTGCATCTTTTTATTTANAAAATCGCCCAAGATCATCTAAAGCATGGGTTCCCAACAGGCGGACCGCGGTCCGAACGGGACCCAGAAGCCTTTCTACACGGACACAGACCGATTATTACATTTTGACTGAGCGTCTCTATTTGAACTTTTCTTGCAGTTACGGTAGTGTTATTTTAACCTGCGCTGCTTTTCCGTCTTTACGGTAGTAAATGCTGACAGCACATGGTAGAGTTCACTTCTCTCACTGAACAAGAGAAAGTGGGAACAAAGAGAAAAGGAGTGTTAGAGCTGTGTAGGTGGTAATGTTGGTTGGGATTGTTTATATATGAAATATAGTTATATATTAATAATAAAGAAGAAAAGGGGAAACTCAAATTGCATCTTTTTATTTATGTTTTCTAAAATGTATTTTTGTTTCATTTCCCGAAAATGTTTGGGAAATGGGGATGCGTTGTCCATGTTTACTGTAGATATAGTCTTAATTACAGTAATTGATCTGTACTATGTGTACAACAAATTTAATGGCTGTTAGATGTACTAATACATTGTAAAAACTACAGCTTTCACCACCAGTGATACATGGAGCTGCCATCTTGGAGAGGGGGCAGGATACTGCATGTTAGACAAGCAGCAATGTTTTTCTGTAGATGCTAGTTCCCCATCTGGTGGACAAAATGGAAAACTAAATCACATCCGTGATTTACCTAAGCTCAGTCTACCAGATAACACTCCCTYCATTCTGTGTACTGCTGTCAGCAAGATAGTGATTTAAAATGAAAATAAAAAACTTCAATAATACTTAATKTATCAGATTGGAGGTTTGGATAAGGACAGTGTTTGAATATTTGCATTTCATATACGGAATGCAGCAAGACTCGGATGTAAAGACATTTTGCCTAAGACACTGAATTTGGGGAAGTAATACTTCTTATAAAATCTCTCCACCTCAGACTTGTTCAGCTCACACGACTGGATGTTCGCTGTCACCAGAGAGGTTAAAGACCAATGAGGCACAGAGGGCTGAGGCACAAAGGTCAATATTTACTGTGAACTGCAGATGAACAATGACAATCTCTTCATTTGGATGTAAGTTATCCATGTTTGACAAATACATCATCACCATTTATTCCACAGTTATGTATGAGGATGCGAGCCAGGGTAGCTTTAGATAAATAATACTGTGACTCTGGGACCAGAATTGAGCTTATTTGACAACATTATACATGTTATTGTTGTCACCGTTAAGT